GTAAAGATGGATGTAACAAGATCAAAGTTAGACAGAGTTACATAAAATAAATTAAACACACACATACACACACGCACACATACACACGCACACATATATACACACGCACGCACGCCCAAATAAACATGCATAAAAACCGATGTACATAACATTCAAGCAAGTATAAATATATTTATTACATACGAACATACACACCCACACATGCATGAATACATACATAACATACATACATAAATACATACAAACAAACACACACACATACATACATACATACATACATACATACATACATACATACATACATACATACATACATACATACATACATACATACATACATACATACATACATACATACATACATACATACATACATACATACATACATACATACATACATACATACATACATACATACATACATACATACATACATACATACATACATACATACATACATACATACATACATACATACATACATACATACATACATACATACATACATACATACATACATACATACATACATACATACATACATACATACATACATACATACATACATACATACATACATTCTTGAATTAATGAAATACATAAATACATACAAACATTCATAAATACATACAAACATACAAACAAACACACATTTAAACATACAATAGGACGAAAATACATTTGAATACAAATCAATGAGAGGCATGCATCTATCATTATATATATACAAGTACATCAATATAAAAATTTACTCAGATCATCATAAACAGGATTGTTAAAGATAAATAATACACACACACACTCTCTCTCTCTCTCTCATCCTCTCTCAAAAATCAATAAATATAAGGATAAAAATAAAAATATTATTATTAAATGGTGATAGAAACAATCAAGCCTCTGATGATCAAAAAAAGCCTCTGGTTTTTCCATTATAACTCAAATCAGCAACAAACACGCGTACAAACACACACACACAGACACACACACACACAGACACACACAGACACACACATACATACACAAATATGTTTAACCGTGTGTGTGTGTGTGTGTGTACATTTGTATACTTTTTGTACCATTGTTTGTGGATACGTGCCTGCTGTGTACCTGTGCATACCTGTGTGAAGTGCACACACACACGTAAAATGAGGACAGAGAAATGAGTAGCACTGAACTTAGCAGACAAGGCTCTCTAAAGTGTTGTAGGCACGAAAAACGGTCATACCACATGACCACATTTGCGTGAATTCAATGAAGAAACATAAACATATATGACATACATACATACATATCTACAAAACATACGTATCTACAATACATACATACATACATACATACATACATACATACATACATACATACATACATACATACATACATACATACATACATACATACATCCAGGGTAGCGGACGAGAAAATGAAAAAATATGGGAACGCCCACCCCTCGATGGAATTCTTGCCAATATGTATCGAGGTTCTCGGCCCGATGGACCCCAACACCCTTAAATTTCTTAAGGCAATATGTAAAATGATCAGCGTCAGATCAGGCAACAGCAGGGAACTGTTTTTCGCAACCAACCACATTTCGTGCTTGTTGCAGCGGTTCCTGCGTGTCTGTGTGCTTGAAAATATCCAACTGAATGCCGACATGTGCAATTAACGACAAATCAAAGTGTTAATCCATTTGTTACTTGATGTTTGACGGTTCAGCGTCACTCATCATGTTTTGGTTTTAACATACATACATACATACATACATACATACATACATACATACATACATACATACATACATACATACATACAAAATATGGAAACTGAAAAAATGAAAAATATGGAAACTGAAAATGAAAAAATATGGGAACGCCCTCCCCTTGATGGAATTCTTGCCAATATGCATCGAGGTTCTTGGCCCGATGGACCCCAACACCCTTAAATTTCTTAAGGAAATATGCAAAATGATCAGCGTCAGATCAGGCGACAGTAGGGAACTGTTTTTTGCAACTAACCACATTTCGTGCTTGTTGCAGCGGTTCCTGCGTGTCTGTGTGCTTGAAAATATCCAACTGAATGCCGACATGTGCAATTAACGACAAATCAAAGTGTTAATCCATTTGTTACTTGATGTTTGACGGTTCAGCGTCACTCATCATCTTTTGGTTTTAACATACATACATACATACATACATACATACATACATACATACATACATACATACATACATAACATTTAAAGATATTGGCAAACTAATAAAAACATTTCTCTCTTTCTCTCTCTCTCTCTCCCTTTCTCTCTCTCTCTCTCATTGTCTCTCAATCTATCCAACTATCTCTCATTTTTCTCCTTCTCCCATCTACACACAAAAAATATTATAGACATTTAACCAATAATATTAACAAGAGCGTAGATTCTTATGCAAAATTAAAAGTGCGAATGTGCCAATCAAAACAACAACTACAACAACAACAACTACAACAACAACTACAACAATAATAAAATAACAACAATAATAATAAAAGTAGCAGTAATAGTATAATTGTCATTCCGATTGCATAACCTTGAACTGAAGCTGAGATTAGCGTGCATTTGAATGCTGTCCCAGCGAAACCAGCTACATCTTTCTATTGCCGCTCATTGTGCGTAGCACTTCACAACTATAAATACTACGATGCATGCACCGCTTCTGAACCACCCGCCTATCCCCACCCAACTACAGCCCAGCCGACTAACAATAAGCTAATAAATTCTCATTTACAGGACAAAAAAATCTAATGATTCAGCCAAAGGAAAGAGAAAGAAAGAGAGAGGGATGGGAAGGAAGAGAGAGAAAGAGAGGGAGGGAAAAAGAAATACAAAAGAGAGACATATAAAAGTGTAGAGAATAAGACAAGAAAGCTGAACAACAACAGAGACGCGCACAAACACACACACAAGAAAACACACACAAGAATACACAGTTTTAATTCCTCATTGTTCTTCATCTGCATTGTTTTCATCATTATGCTAATAATAATAATGCATGCATTCATGTAAAATCTTAAAAATACCATAAAACACATACACCCATCCACACACATACTCACTCACTCACACATACACACACACACAACACAAACATTTGTGATTATTCTGTGTATAACAACTATATACATACAGTGAAAATGTCAATTAAATGATGGTAGATAATGAAGCAAAAAGGGCAATAATTTAACAGCAATTCATCATCATTAAATATAAATTTTTGGATCTTCTTAAAGATAAATTTTTAATACAACACATCAATCATCCAACGAGATTTAGAGATGGTCAGACATCAAATATCCTGGATCTGGTGATTTCATCCCAGGAATTTATAAATAACATCATACCTCTAGGTAACAGTGACCACTCAATTTTGGAATTCAAGGTGACTGGTTTTTGTTGTTCAGCCATGGAGTGTGATAAAAAGTATTGTTTTGATTTGGGTGATTATATAAATTTTAAAAATGCACTGGGGGTCTCCTTGCAGGTTCCTTCTTCTTGGTGTGGGGATGCAGAGGATAATTGGAAATTTTTCAGGGACCAATTAGTCACTTGTTCTCAAAAGTTTGTTCCGATGAAAAGAAGAAGAATATATTGCAATTTTAAAATAAATGAAAAACTAAAATCTCTTATTAAACAAAAGCATTTGATTTGGAGATCAATTTACAGATACGGTGAAGACAAAATGGACAAATATCGTTCAATCAGAAATGAGATAAAGAGACTCGCCAGTGTCTTGAAAAATCAATATCAGGAATCTATTGCAAGAAATTTCAACAGAAATCCAAAATTGTTTTGGAATCACGTAAAAAAAATCACTAGGCGTCATGAGGCTATTGGTACTCTGTCAATTGATGGGAAGGTCGTTACCTGTGACGATGAAAAAGTTGAAGCGTTTGCAAGTTTTTTCTTTTCCATTTATGAAATGGATTCAAATTTTGAGAACCAATTTTGTGCTATAATTGGAAATTCCTATCCGACTATGGACGATTTATCTACTGATGAAAATATGATTCTTTCTAAATTGAAACAACTAGTGACAAGCAAATCAGCGGGACCGGATGAAATTCATTCCAGAATTTTATGGGAAATGAAAGATTTTGTTTCTAAAGGTTTGTGCAGAATTTTTCAACGTTCATTGGATGAAAGTGTGGTATTTGATGATTGGAGAATTAGTCACGTTGTTCCCTTGCACAAAAAAGGACGCAAAGATTTAGTTCAGAATTATTGTCCAATTGCGCTTACATCAATTTGCTGTAAGATTCTGGAGTCATTAATAAAAGATCACATTATGGATTATTTTCTGAAAAATAATTTGTTTTCAAGTGATCAATTTGGTTTCATCCCAGGTCGTTCAACGGTTTTGAATCTTTTGAAATTTTGGGACGTGGTGACTGAAGGAGTAGATCGTGATTACGAGGTTTGTGTGGCGTACTTGGACCTCGAGAAGGCGTTCGATAAAGTATCCCATAGTCGTTTGTTGTTCAAGCTTGAACAGTATGGTGTGAATCATAAGATAGTAAAGTGGATTGATAAATATCTTCAGGGCAGGGTGTTTCAAGTCAAGTTAAACAACACTTTATCGAAACCAAGACCTGTCTTGAGTGGAGTCCCTCAGGGTGGTGTTCTAAGTCCTCTGCTATTTCTCATCTATATTAATGACGTTTCTTCCATTTGTGATAGATGTTCCTTTTCGCTGATGACTCAAAATTATTTAAAGTAATAAAGTGTGAGGAAGATAAAATAAATTTTTTGAAAGATTTTGTGAACATGATGAATTGGTTTAAAACTTGGAGGTTGAAGTTGAATTCAAACAAATGTCAGCTCCTAAGAATAGAATCGAATAAGCCATTTACTATACTAGATGATGATGGTTTGACGTTTCAGTTACCTGAGGTTGAGGAAGTATCTGATCTGGGGATTATTATTGACAACAAGTTGAAGTTTAAAAATCATGTGCTAAAGGTAGTTCATAGAGCAAATAGTATGCTTGGAATTGTTGCCAGAAATTTCAAACACCTTTCTGAGGCAGCATTTGTAACGTTGTTAAAGTCATTGGTTCGTTCGCACCTAGAGTATGGCATACAAGCATGGCATCCTTATAGAATTGGTTTGATAGATGAAATTGAAAAGGCTCAGAAAAGAGCTACGAGAACAGTGAATTCTTGCAAGGAGCTTCCATATGAAAATAGATTAAAGAAACATAATTTGCCCTCTCTTGCCTACAGGCATCGTAGAGCTGATCTCATATTGCTGTATAGAATAATCCATGGGGAAATTATGGAGGATATCAGTCCAAGGGTAATGTTCTCTTGTTATGATCGAACTCAAGGTCACAATATGAAGTTATCTACAGGTGCTTGCCACAAAGACAGTAGGAAGTATTTCTTTTCTAACAGATCAGTTGATGATTGGAACAAATTGCCCTCAGCTGCTGTAAATTCATCCTTTCTATGCGGTTTTAAATCGGCAATAGACAATTTTTTTGGAGATGTCATGTTTGATTGGAGGGCTAATTTCTGATAATTTCTGATAATCTCAATAATATTATGTCTTTTGTTTATTTCCCTATATTTATAAATTTAAATTTTCGTCGACTCAATTTTTTATATTCTCTGTTAAAAATCCTTTGTTTCAGTTCGTCTTCAATTTTGGTTTTTTATTATATTTCTGATTGTATTAACTAGACAGATTTTGTTGTTGATTCAATTTCCTGTTTGATTGCCACTGTAATGACTTTGTTAAACATCTAATGAAGCTAACTCGTTTAATTTTATAATGACAATTTGATTTCTATCTTAATCAGTTTTTAATTTTTAAGGGTTTATTTTTGTTACTTTTGATTTTTTGATTTTTATTTGGTTGGCAATGGGCTATGCCCGAGCTATTTCTAATAATAATAATAATAATAATAATAATAATAATATTATAAATACATAATAGAACCTGTGGAAGTATAGTATATCTATATATATTATATATAAATATATGTATGTATGTTTGCTTGTTTGTATGAATGTATGTGTGTATGTAGATCTGTATATATGTATGTGTGTGTGTGGTGTGTGTGTGTGTGGTGTGTGTGAATTCACCTTGTGTAAGTGTATATCACACATGTTCAACTTCAAAATGGAAACTCAAATAATTGTTTAATAATAAAATAATTTAAAAATAAATATATTTTAATTAAAATAAAATGAATTTGTTATGGTTAAAGCAGACTTTTATGAAAGAATAGGCATATAATATAAAATAAATATAAATAAATGTAATAAATTATAAATTAAAACTGAAAAATGTTTGAAAAGAATTAACAGTTTTAAATTGAATTTTAATAAATAACTTTTTTAAAAAATTCAAACTCGCCTCATTAATTAAAAAACCATTTAAAAAATTAAATTATTTAATTAAAATTATTAAACCAAATTAATTATTTAATAAATAAAAATTAATAAATTTTAAATCCTCAACTGGTATTAATTAAAATTTTTTTTTAATATTCTTTCAACAATTAAATTAAGTACTTTGACACGAATTAATAAATAATAATAATAAATTAAATTAAATAAAACATTTATTGGAAAATTATTTTATTTCAATAAAACTAATTTTTTAATAAAATTTAATTTTAATTTAACCACCTCTACTATACTGCTACAAATACAGAAACAATAACATTCTTCTTGTTTATCAAGGCTACAACTAATGGCCACACACTACCACATACAAGTTTATGTCTACCTAAAATGTACGCACATGATACAAATAAGCGCAGAATAAATGCCATCAGGACCCAGTTCTGCCTATTAGGCGTATATACATTTATATATATATATATATATATATATATATATATATATATATAAAACATCAGACCTGTACCATACATGTATGAGTGTGTATGTATGTATGTATGTATGTATGTATGTATGTATGTATGTATGTATGTATGTATGTATGTATGTATGTATGTATGTATGTATGTATGTATGTATGTATGTATGTATGTATGTATGTATGTATGTATGTATGTATGTATGTATGTATGTATGTATGTATGTATGTATGTATGTATGTATGTATGTATGTATGTATGTATGTATGTATGTATGTATGTATGTATGTATGTATGTATGTATGTATGTATGTATGTATGTATGTATGTATGTATGTATGTATGTATGTATGTATGTATGTATGTATGTATGTATGTATGTATGTATGTATGTATGTATGTATGTATGTATGTATGTATGTATGTATGTATGTATGTATGTATGTATGTATGTATGTATGTATGTATGTATGTATGTATGTATGTATGTATGTATGTATGTATGTATGTATGTATGTATGTATGTATGTATGTATGTATGTATGTATGTATGTATGTATGTATGTATGTATGTATGTATGTATGTATGTATGTATGTATGTATGTATGTATGTATGTATGTATGTATGTATGTATGTATGTATGTATGTATGTATGTATGTATGTATGTATGTATGTATGTATGTATGTATGTATGTATGTATGTATGTATGTACGAGTTTATGTTTTTTTTAAACCAACAATACGTTCATATGAAATGAAGTGACAGGTGTTTTGTTTACCAAAGAAAAACGAATTCGCCAATACTATTTACCACCACAATCGCCACCACAGTCGTCATCGTCTTTACCATCATCATTCTCATCATCGGCACCACCACCATCGTCATCTTTTTTGTTATCGTCTTCAGTATTATCGTCGTCATCTCAGCAAAAGCAAAGCAATACAATTGATAGAAAAATTATACAACGTGCAAAGATATGCAATTCATTTCAATGAAACGTCAAATGCATTCGCAACGAATGCAATAAGCATTCTTTATTCAAAATTTGGCGCATAAATATATTTAAATATGTAAAAATATGTGTGTATCTATGTGAGTATGTGTGTATGTATGCGTTTGTTGATGTGTTTCGAAGAGTTATGATATTGTTGTATGTGCATAGCGCACAAAAGTATTGATGTCGGTTATTAATCATTATAGTCCGTGCATTTCCGTAATGGGACTAGTACCATTATTCAGATGTAACCCGAAATGGCTGGTTACTTGGTTGATTGGTTGGTTGATTGGTTGGTTGGTTTGCTTGTTGGTTGATTGGTTGGTTAGATGGTTGATTGGTTGATTGGTTGGTTGATTGGATGGTTGTTTGGTTGGCTGGTTGGTTGGTTGGTTAGATGGTTGATTGGTTGGTTGGTTGGATAGTTGTTTGGTTGGCTGGTTGGTTGATTGGTTTGGTTGGTTGGTTGGTTGGCTGGTTGTTTAGTCGGTCGATCGATTGGCGTATGTGTTTTGTTTGTGTGAGTGTGTGTTTGTATTTGTCTATGTATCTATGAACATATACACATATATACAATACATGTGCCTCTTGTTATGAAGAGTGTTTGTACAATGACGGTTGCACATGTTTTTATTAAGTCTCGTTCGTTTTTTCTTTCATTTCTTCGTTAATTCATTTGTTCGTTGGTTTATTCATTCATTCATTCATTTATTGATTCATTCATTTATTGATTCGTTCGTTCGTTCATTCATTCATTCACTTGTTCTTATGTGGGTGTATTTTGGTGTGGGTATTATATATGTATGATGCGTGTATCTGGGTGTTTTTTGAATGATTGCGTATCATACGATGATCATCGTCATTTTTAGAACTTTGCCAAAAATATATTTCTTTCGTTGCTAGGCTAGGTTTGGTTGAGCGTTAGTTCACTGTGGAAAAATTTATAACTGATTGTTGGGGTCTTACATTTGATATTTAAATTGAAATTAAAATAAAATAATATAATGATAATACAATTAGTATAATATTTCAAATATATAATTGTTGTTGATTTTAAAGAAGTAATTAGCCATAAAAACATTTACAACTTTGTAACATAAAATAATTCGGTTGCTGGTATGACGCAAAGTTGTTCACAAAACTAAATCTTTTTTCTCTTCATAGAAACACTTGTTATCAGCATTTATTCATACTGTTCGTGTTCTCGTTGTAGGTAAACGTGTTTGTTCAATCGATGAACATCCATTGTAAGCAAATATGCTGCTTGAAAAAAATTCCATATCTTTCGGGGAACAGTTTGCATTTATAATTGTCAGAGGTGGATCTAGACAGCTTTGAAGGGGTGGCCCTCCTAGACACATCACTGCATTTCTAAAAAACCTTTGGCTTAATTCACTATAAGATCGTCACATTAACAACCAGTTATAACATGATAGCTATCCGGTCCACTCAAGGAACTATATATTAAAAACGTAGGAATTTTCATGACTAAATTATACATTTTCATGTACAAGAGATTGAATGCTACATATATCCATAATACTACATGATTCTAGTAGCAAACTACAAGCTCAATTTACTATATCGCGCCACATTTTCAAAAATAATTGAGCTAAAGTGCGTATTCAGTAATACATGATGGTAACTATTTGATTAATTAAAAATATATTAAATAATAATTATAATTTATTCTTGAAAACTAAAAATAAAATATAATGACTCAAATACTTCTCAGTCAACGTTTTAGTTTAACTACTATAGCTCAATTCTTATGCTAAAATTAAGTTTCAATGAAAATTTCGTCGCTATGCTATGATTTCAATGTGTACAAAGAGCAGGTTAACGATAATAAAGAGATCATATTTTTTCTTGTTTTAAAATTGGTTGCCTAACCGGAACAAACAGTCTTCATGTTGGTTTTTTAAATTTTGTTTGACAGACGATTATTGGCCGTTTGATATTATATAACTGAAGTTTTATGTTGTTATAATTATTATTATAAAATAGTTAAAATTTAAAAACTAACAAAAAATGTTTTAATGTTTAACATTTTTTAATTAAATTTAATTAATGTTTAAAAAATATTAAATTTTAAGTAAATACACAATACATACACAGAGCAAGTGCCAAATAAAAGCAAACATCATTTTATAAATAGCAAGTTTTTTAAATTTAAAAACAAAAAATAAATTCACAAAAATGTTGCCAAAGTTTTCAAGAAATTTATTGAAAGTTAGTGAAATTAGGACAGCAATGGCTGCTGTGGGCTCAAGATGTTTAACCAACCCGTCATTAATGAAAGAGAAAGCTTTCAGAAATAATTCATGGGTCGATGCTCATAGTGGAAAAACATTTGATGGTACATTTTATTTTTATTATGCCATAATAATTACGCCATAATTTTTTATTATGCCATAATAATTTTGGCATAATTTTTTATTATAATATTATAAATGTCATTGCTCTCTCTCTTTTGCCTCATTTTTATATGGCTGTGTCTGAGGTTCATAGTATCAATAAGTTGCCTACTAATTTAAATATTAAGAATCTGCAGTTATTTCATGAATTCCTAATTTTAATTTTATGCAAATTAGGTCTGTGGGATGTGTGCTAAGGTTTCAGCATGTTATGTATTATAGTTATTATAGTGTAAATATATTAATTGTGACATAATATTAATAGTATAAGATATAAGGTTCTTTTTTTTATTGTGAAATAATAAATATGGATTGATAGACAGTGTTGTAAATCTTTTTATCAATTGATTAATTAACTGATTCAATAATTTAATTATAAATAATAATTATTAATAATTTCTTTAATTATATTTATCCTCCAAGTCCTAAATCCGTCTACTGGAAAAGTAATAGCAAGAGTGCCAGATCAAAATACAGACGACCTTCTTGACTACATAAAGGACGCCGACTGGGCATTTAATAAGTGGAGGAGTCTGACTGCAGAGGTATAATTATTTTATTTTATATTCACATAATTATTTTATAATTAATTAAATAATAATTGTTAATTAATAATAAGTTAATTATTGATTATAATTAATATCATTATTTACCAGAACAGAAGTAATTTCTTGAAGAAATGGTTTAGACTCATAGAGGAAAATAAAGAAGATCTGGCAAAATTAATCACCATCGAAAATGTAACACCAATTATTATGAATTATTATTTATTATTATATATTATTTATTGTTATATATTATTTATTATTATTTATTTTTATTTATTATTTACAATTAATTATAGTGCATGTGGTTTATTTTTCTATAAAGGGTAAGCCACTAGCTGACGCCAGAGCTGAAGTCAGTTACTCCGCTGGTTATGTTGAATGGTTTGCAGAGGAAGGTAGAAGGGTTAGTAATCGATCAATCGTTCAATCAATCATTCATTCGTTTATTCAATCAATCATTCACTCAATCAATCATTCATTCATTCAATCATTCACTCCATCAATCATTCACTCAACCAATCATTCACTCAATCAAGCATTCACTCAATCAATAATTCAACTAATCAATTATTCACTCACTCGATCAATCAATCAATCAATCATTCATTCAATCATTCACTCAATTAATAGACAACAACGACGATGATAATGATGATCCACAGGTTTATGGCGACATCATTCCATCTGGTTCTACCTCCAAACGTTATCTGGTTCTTAAGCAGCCTGTAGGTGTCACTGGAATGATTACTCCGGTGGGTCGGCGTGTATGTATGTATATGTGTGTGTGTGTGTATGTATGTATGTATGTGTGTGTGTGAGTGTGTTTGTAGGTGTGTGTGTCTATGTAAGTACTTATCCATCTTTACCCCAGTGGAACTTTCCAAGTGCCATGATCACCAGGAAGGTGGCAGCAGCTCTGGCAGTCGGGTGCACCACGATCATCAAACCTTCCGAAGAGACTCCTCTTTCTGCCCTTGCCCTCTGCCAGGTCAGAGTTCAAGCAATAATAGTTATAACATAATTATAACATAATTATTATGATTATAATATCAATGAATGTCTGATCTCTAGATGTTGTTAGAGTTTTAGGATTTTTCCATTTTTTTGGTTAAGTTTTTTTTTAAATTTTGTTTGATCCAGTTAGCGCAGCAAGCTGGTTTCCCAGATGGGGTCATAAACGTGTTGACCTGCTCGAAGGGGAACGCCCCGGCGGTGGGAGGAGCCATGTGCAACAGTCCAATCATATCCAAAATATCATTCACAGGATCAACCTATGTCGGAAAGGTATCTGTAATGTGGGAGGGGTTATCAAATTTATCTATTCTTTTATTAAAATCATCAAATTATGTCACTATGTGCTGTTATATGACTGGTTATCTAAATTTTACATCTTGAATATTTCAAATTATTAAAATAATGGATAGTTAATTAATTAATTCGTCCGTTAATTAGAATTTCAAAATTAAATTTTAACCACTTTTTGTCAGATCCTGATCAAAAACTCGGCAGAAACGGTGAAAAAACTTTCGCTGGAGCTCGGCGGCAATGCACCGTTCATAGTTTTCAACGGGGCTGACCTCGATTTGGCCGTCAAGGGGGTCATTGCTGGAAAGTTTAGGTGCAGTGGACAGGTCAGTGTGTGTGCGTGTGTGTGCGTGCGTGTTTACATTGTATATATATGTATGCATCTGTATAATTGTGTGTGCGCGCGCTTTTGTGCTTTTATTCTAATTTTTAACTCTGGAATCGTTGAGACTGTTTGAGTTAAGTAACTTTTGTTGTATGAATTTAACGTTTGAGTTGAAATCCTTCTAGGTTAAATTCTGTTAAGTATTTAAATTTCACACTTTTATTATTTCTATTATAAAATTTCAAAACTGAACTGCTCCAGACGTGCATAAGTCCGAATCGACTGTTGGTGCAGTGTGAGATTCACGATGAATTTGTCGAGAAGTTGAAGGGGGCTGTCTCCAAACTGAAGCTAGGGGATGGTATGGATTCCGCCTGCACACAGGGCCCTCTTATTAACAGGGCCTCCGTTGATAAGGTTCAATTCATTGGGTGTTTGTGTTGGTTTGATTGTTTGTGTGCGTGTGTTTGTTTGTTTGTGTGTAAGTGTGTGCGTGTATGTTTGTGGGTATATATGTATGTGTATGAGTATGTCATCGTCATCATCATTGTCATCGTCATCGTCACAAAGGTTCTCGAACATATAAAAGATGCAGTGTCTAAAGGCGCCAAAATCGTTTTGGGAGGTAAATCGCCAGGTCAGAAATCAAATTTTATGGAGCCGACCATCTTAACTAACGTTAACGTCAACTGTTTATGCTGCCAGGATGAAACATTTGGTCCGCTGGTTCCTATTGTCAGGTACCAACTGACCGATCTTTTTGCATTTCGTTTGTGGTTTTTTTAATTGTTTTTTTTTTCAATTATTTAGTTATGTATTATTTCATTCATATAATTAATTAATTAATTTGTTTATTTTATATTAAAATATTTTTGAAATTCCCTCGAAAGATTTATAGAGGAAGATGACGCCATATTAATTGCCAATCAATGTACATCTGGTCTTGCCAGTGAGTTTGTGAAAAAATCTCATCTGCTATTTATATTTCTACAATTCGTACTACTACTATTACCGATAATTTTACTACTACGACGACTACTACTGCTGCTGCTACTACTACTACTACTACTACTACTACTACTACTACTACTACTACTACTACTACTACTACCACTGCTACTAATACTAACGTTTTGTTATTTCTATTGCTGCTACTACTGATGCTGCTACTACTTCTCTAGCAGTAGTAGTTGAAGCAGAAGTAGTAGCAGCAGTTGAAGTTGGTAGTAATGATGATGAAAGAACTTCTTTATATAGCGCTTAATAATCATTCGTTTTTTTTTAATATTTTCATTCCAGGCTACATCTTCTCATCTGACATCTCCCAAATTTGGAGGGTATCCGAAAAACTGCAAACGGGGATGGTCGGGATCAATGATGCTGCCATTTCCGCTGTCCAGGTGCCGTTCGGGGGAGTCAAGGAATCCGGATACGGAAGGGAGGGATCCAAATATGGCGTCGATGATTATCTTAACATTAAGTATCTTTGTATGGGAGAATTAAACATTTAGTTTTATTTTTTAGTTTTTTTTTCTAGTTTGATCAACTGATCGTTGTTGTTTAATTAATAATTTAAATTGAATTTATAATTGTATATAAATCGTTATTAAGGACAACTATTTTAATTGTTTTGTTACAGCCGGTTCAGTTATAGCAGTTAACACAAACGTTTATATTAATACTTCTTTTGTTACTATTCCAGAAGCTCGCTTTATACGTAATCGTTCTATTCTATACATACAATTGTATTAGTTGATATGTATTTGAATTTTTTTTTTAATTTTCAAATCATTTATTTATTACAGAGCTGCTATATTTTTTTTAATCTTCATTTCTTATCAGAAAGAACACCTTGATATACTTGAGCGCAAATAAGAACATTATTAATTAATCAGTTAATTAATTAATTGATTAGTTAATTAGTTAATTGATTGGTTAGTTAATTACAATCTATAAACGTATTTATGATGCAATTATCTTAGCAATACTATGAGCAGATTTTATGTACTAACGTAACGAAAAATAGTAAAAATATGATTAAAATATACATTGTTATTTCAAGTGCACAATGACAAAACGATCAACAATAAACATTTTTTGCTTATGAATTTGTGTTTTTTGTTTGTTTGTGTTTGTGTGTGTGTGTGTGTCTGTGTTTTTTTTTATCATCGCGTTCGCATGTTTACATACTGAAAACTTATATGCAGGAAGAAGGATAGGCGCTGAGTTGTTTGCTAATTCGAAGGTGTTTGTGTTTCTTCCTCTCTTCCTCTGCCTCTGTGTGTGTGTGCGTGTGTTTGTGTGAACGTATTTGTATTATGTACACGTGTGATTTAATCTCCAGGTCCAGGTATAAAAATATAGAGGTGTGATTTGAACTGTATGAGAGGGTAGCAAGTTATTGTAAAAGAAAGGTTTACTTTAAATAAGAAGATGTATATACAGTACATACATGTGTGTGCGTGTTGTAAGTATGTATGTGTGTGCGTGTATATGTAAAAATGAAAGTATAAACGTAGAAATGCTGTGTGCGTGTGTGTATGTGCATGTTGTGTTTGTGTTCATCCGCAGAGCTTCAGGTGTCAATGAATTGCACACTGAATGTTGGTTGGTCAGAGAGATTTTATTTTTAATCTGTTCCTGACAATCCTTCTCAGAGATGACGTCACAGGAAGTAGGTTCAGCAGAGTTTCCGGTCCATCCAAGGAGACAAGGATGACGTCGGCGGCTAGATTTGTTAAACTTTCCAACGGCCTCAAGACTGGATTCCACAACTTAACTGGAATGATTGATTCCTTGCTGGATCTCGGCTGCAGGTAATAGCGATCTTTTTCGGATTTCGATTTAATGGAAGCTTGCTCGATGAACTTTACAGCTGTCATCTTTTCTGATTGAATTTTTACTAGAGATGGTTGTGCTGCGGCGTTGACTTCTTCTTGCACGGGCGGTGATGGTTCGTGAAAACTAAACGTGCCTGGCGAGTTCATTTTTTTTAAATTTTATAATTTAAAAATAAAAATGAGTTGGCAGTCTTTGTGGTAGCGATATTGAGAAATAATACAAATGAAAAATAACCCAAACTTGCCGTTAATGCACTCGATGCCGGTGTGGTGTGTTTCGCCTCCAGATCTGAAACTGAGAGCCAGGGCGTATCTTTCCTCCGAGCTGTTCCTGACCAGGAACCACCCATCAGGTTTGCCCTGAAGTAGCTTACTGGCACCTTCCCTGTTTAGACTGCCCCAGTACCAGAGAACCTGCCCGTGTAATGCATCACGTTTTAATGTTGATGATGTGTTTTAGCGCTATTCTGATTGTTTGCAATTTAACAACTTTGATCTTTACATGCATGCATTTACTACGTTACAATATAGATACAACAATTTAATAACAAACAGTCCCCAGTCATTCAATTACACCACATAATGTAAGAAGATGAAGGCTTACGTTTTTTAATTCTTTCAAGTTTTCAGAGGGGTTGATATGGTAGCTAATGACTTCTAACGGAGTGTAACCAGATTTTTCCATCCGTGAGGAGGCTTTAGGTGGTTGAGGGGGAGGTGGTCGACGCTCACTTGGCGGTTCTGGCGGCGGTGGTCGTCGTTCACTTGGCGGTTGTGGAGGTGGAGGTCGAGAATCAAGCGGTTTCGTGAAGATTGAAGAAAAACTATCGATTCGAGTGACGTGCTGCAGTCGCCTGTTCAAGCTCATGGACTTCGTGGCTTCCATATTTTCAGCAAACGTGCACTCTTGCTGCCAACTTCTGGCCATGAGGCATTCGTTGTTTTCAAATCTGGACAGGGAGTTTGGAATGCTGACGTTTGATTTGTTGGCAAGACTAACTCTTTCTAGCGATCTACAAATTCTGCACTGTCTCTTACATTCTTGACACTCTCTGTCCGTTATTTTTTTAAGTTTTTCGTTGAATTTTGAAGAGAATAATGCCTCTTTCAAACTAAATCTTGATGATCTGTCGGTTTTTATTGACATTCTGTCGCTATCGGGTTGGTTTTTAACAGAAGCACTTGAACTTATTGGTTTACTTTTGTACTTTCTTTTCGAGTTGCAATGGCAAGGCAAATTGTCATCTCTCTCGGCCCGTTTGAAAAAATTTTGTAATTTGGCGATGCCTTTGAACATTTGTGGTGTGTACTTTTCAGTCTGACTTGAAACTGTCACGGAGTTATTCCGCATGCCCATGGACGAGGCTGATGAAGCCATACTCGGCGTCTCCTTCGTTGAATTCTGACGACCGTAACATTCGTCCGTGTCCGAATAAAAAATGGATGCTGTGTTTTTTGATAATAATTTGTTGTGCTTCAGTCTTGAATTGTTTTTGTTCGCCTCACTATCGGCACTCTGTGACATCAAAGAAGCTGTCTTCAACGAGATTCCAAGTAGTTGGGCTTCCTCCATCACTTCTTCCCAACTCATATGCGTCGGCTCCGTATCTAAGATGGCCTGACTAAGATCCGACCTGCTGACACTGGTTGTTTCTTGAGGGTTGTAATTTTGATCTCTAGCTGATGCTGATTGGAGGGTTTCTTTTTTTGATTTTGAGTATAATGGTTTTTTGGTTGGAGAGCCGTGCAGGTGGTGGGGAGTATTGGCTGTGCAGTCTTTCGAATGCGTCTCTACGTTAGGATCACTTGTGCGTTTGGGGCTAATTTTTCGAGTTTGTGAGACGAAAGGTGATGATTCGAGGTTTTCATCTTTGGTGACGTTCAACGAAAGTTCGCTGGTGTTGTTAACTTTCTGTCTGCGTTTCATTTTAGGTGGTGAAAGCTTGGTTTGCTTTTTGAAGTGGCTATTATTCAGCTGTAGTTTATTATTTATGTTCTCATATGTTGCGTCGTTTGCTTTGCGATGTCTGACGATGTTGTTGTTCGAAATATCGATTTTATCGCTATTTGTTGTGGTTGTTTGTTCTTTCGACCATTGCTGGCTGTTGTTGTTTTCTAGGTCTTCATCGCTTAGTAATGTGTCCACAGGCTCATTATCGCATTTTTTAAACAACTTATTATTAAAAGATTTATAATTTTTGTCACTAACGCAATTATTTATGTGTAGATTAGATGGAATTTTTGTGTAACGTTTCAAAATGACGGCCGACTTACTGTGGTTATCGTCAGTAGCGGCACATTCGCGTATATCGCTTAATTCATAGCCACCGAATCTTGATGTTTTGTTCTTCAAGTGCTTCCACATGTTCTGGTGTCTCGATACAACGTTGATATCATACCGGCCTTAATGTTGTACTCCAGTAACTCCAACATATTTTTGAACTTATGTTATTACAAGTAGTAAAATCATCAAACGACTTAGATAGGTTAATGATCGTTCAACTCGACAAACACAAAAAACAAACAAAAGGCTTGCAACTGCAGAGAAGAAAACACAAAAATGACCATTATAGATCTGCAGAGAATGCACGCCTAGGCTACAGCCAGCTGCTTACACGTTGAAAACGTGCCTTCATACAAACATACCTACATACCTACATACATACATACATACATACATACATACATACATACATACATACATACATACATACATACATACATACATGCATCGATACTTCTACGGAGCGGAGGTTGTATGTGATGCGTGTATAATGTATGTACTTTCATGCATTTGTGTATCGTGTATATGTACCCATACATGTATGTATGTGTGTATGTCTGTGCGTATGCACGGAACGCATTCGTTATGTGTCGAAATATGAATTTTTGAAACCAGCATTGCTACTATTAAAAACTTGATAATTGTAACCAACTGAAAACGCAATAATCATCCGCGAAAATCTCTCAAAGTCAGTCTTGAATGTGTGGGTACTTCTGACGCTTCTCAAATGAGAGGAGCACGAGAGCTGCTTAGCGTCAACATACTCGTCAGTCTTCAATCACCTCAAATATTTTCCACCAGCAGAAAGTTGGAAAGGTGAAAACCCTGTTAAGAGGATAATGTGCTTATCAAGAAATTTGCATTTTAAAAAATGAGAATCAAGTCGTTAGAAAACCTCCAAGCAAGACATTTTGTGATGTTTATGGTATAAACTGTTCTTTAAAACATTTAGTCTGATAAATTAGAGTAACAATTCTTATTATATAGTTGAAAAAACTTCAAAACTATTCATCCAGTTGAGATGCCATGTTGCAAGAGCAAGGAAAGCATTGGCGCGTAGAAACTAATTACTTGACGATGCGAAGCTACCTAGGGAATGAAATTTCAATTCATCAAATAGATTTTTTTCTTTCAACGTTTTTCTATCAAATTTTTTTTTCCACTTTTTTTTAAATTGCCTTCTTTAGTTTTAATCAACTCATTTGATCATGATTTGAAAGGTATGGGATTTTTTTTTTAATTTTTTTCAAATAAATTTTTTTTTAATAAAATTTCGTAATGAAATTAAATCTCTTTCTCAGGAATTGGAGACTTGATGAGTTTCGGTGAAAAGAGACGTGAAATAAAAAAAGTTTGCCCGGCAGCGAGAAACAATTAAACGGCCAATCTTTTTTCCATTTTTACTAATTATACTGCTATATAATATGCTACTATTTGCGCATTATTACTTCGTTGATACTTCAGCCGCTGCTGATGCTACTACTACTACTGCTACTACTACCACTTCTACTACTGCTACTACTACCACTATACAACTACTTCTAATGTTGATGTAGTAGCTACTTTTACTACTACCACTGCAATTCTTACAACTACGATTGCTGCTGTGGTTCCAGCTGCTACTACTATTACTACTACTACTACTAATTTTGCTACTACTGCTTCGAATACGACAACTACTAATTATAATAGCATTTGTTGTTATATCATTGTAATGAACACAATAAAACCATATAACGTCACGAGATAATTCAGGTTAGTGGGCGGAGCTACGTCAAGATGAGCTTACTAATTTTATGTATTAATATACCATTCATACATACGTAAATACATTTATACAAAAATACATACACACATATATACATACAATCATATGTACACACATGTATAAACTGTATGTATTTGTATACGCATTCTTGTATGTGTGATAGCTTGTACATCATTTAATAGTAACAATAAAAATATATAAATGTAAATAGAAAAGAATATGCATATATATTTGTGTGTGTGTGTATTTGTTTTGCAAATAGATATATAAAAGTAGATATATATATATAAACGAATAGGTTTAAAAATAAACAAGTAGACATATGCAAATATAACGTGCATCAACACACATACGTATGTGTGAAGTATGTTTATGTTTGTATGTGTAGGTTTGTATGATATAGAAGAGAAAGATGTATGTTTGTATGCGTGTATATATGTGTGTATGAATATGTATGTAGTGTGGATGTATGTATGCAATTATGTATGTATATGTATATGCAGTTATGTATGTATATATGAGTATGTATGTATATATGAGTATGTATGTATATATGAGTATGTATATAGGAATGTACACGAAATGTTTATTTTTCAAGTTAGTACTCTATAAAATTGGCTCGTGTGTGTTTTGTTGTGTTGAATGTTCGTTGATTTTTATTTATATTACGGTAAAGTTTCTGTCAAGTTTATTTCTAAATAGGAATGCTTAATTTTTTAGACATTTAGATGGTTAATTTAAAATATTAATGTAAAAATAGGATATTTCTTACTATTAAATAAAATTAAATTAAATTAACGCTTGATTTGAAAAGTCATTTTTACTTATTGTTTGTAAGTATTTTTTATTCTGTTCAGGCGGAGTAGTAATTTTCCGGTAGAAACCTGTAAACTTCAATCAGTTAACTAACAAAACCAACCAATAAGCGAATCAATAAACCGGCCATTCATTCACCCAGCCAATCAGCTATTCAGTTAACCAATCAACTTCATTCACCCAACCAATCAGCGATTTAGTCAACCAATCAATGAATCAACCAACCAATCAGCTGGCGATGGAATCATTGAATACAAATTTCAGTAAAGTTTTGTTGATGACAGCTAACTTGGGTTCAATCTTTGAGGAGGTTGGTCAGTCAGTCAATCAATCAATCCTTCGTTCATTCGTTCGTTCTTTCGTTCATTCATCCATCCATCCATCCATCCATTCATTCATTCATTCATTCATTCATTCATTCAATTATTAATCAATATATCAATCAATTGATCAATTTATTATTCAATCAAAAGTCATTTGTTCGTATTTTTTTTTATTTCTTCCGGCTATGTAATCTCCGAGCTTTTAAATTTTTGCTTGACAACGTGCGCGCGTGTGTTTGTGTGTGTGCCTGTACAAACTTTTGTGAATGTATGAATTAATAAATGGAAGAGTAGATAAAAAACAGATGGATGGATGAATGAATGAATAAACGGATAGATAGATAGATAGGATATCAGATATAAGGATAGACAGGTAAATAGATATATGAATAGATATTTAAAGTTAGAGATAGAGGTAGACATGAATTGATATTAACAACAGATTAAATTAAATTAATTAAATGGATGAGTAGATGGATTGAAAGATAGATGGATAGATAGATAGATAATCTTATAATTTTCCATAATTTTAATAATAATTGTTTATTATTATTTATTGTATTAATTCTTATTCAAATAAGTTTAATAATGAATCATTTAGGGTCACTAAACATGAACTTTCTCTTCTTCTCTATCTCTCTCCCTCTTCTTCCTATTTTTCTTTCTCTCTCTTTCGTTTTTTTCTATCTCTCTCTCTCTTTCGTTCTCTCTCTCTCTCTCTCTCTCTCTCTCTCTCTCTCTTTCTTTCATTCTGGTTGGAGTCTGCTCTGTTAGATTTCACAACTTTAGTTATGTATCATGTGAGAGTCTGTTGTTATTATGTAATAATTGATTACAATTTTTTTTACATTGTAACATTTAATATGAATTTTTTATACACGTATGTGTGTATTTATATGTATGTATGTATGTATGGGTGAGTTTGTGCACGCGCGCGTGTGTTGTTCACACACACAAACATACAAATGCACACACACACGCACACGCACACACACACATACACATACATATAGAGATAGACAGACATACTTACCTATTTAGAAGAATAAACAATGGTATATTTTAATACAAAAACTTTTCCTCTGTACACATTGCTCCTGTGTTGCTGCTCTGCTGTTTGTAAACTAAACACAACAGAGAGAGAAAGAGAGAGAGAGAGAGAGAAAGAGAAAGAGAGAGAATGGGAAAGAGAGAGAGGGAAATCCAGTACATTGCATTACAACCATGTAATTAAAACCACCATAAAACATACAAATGAACATTTAGTGGAAGAACGAAAGATAAATAGAGAGAGAGAGAGAGAGAGAGAGAGAGAGAGAGAGAGAGAGAGAGAGAGAGAGAGAGAGAGAGAGAAAGGGAGGAATCATTACATTACATTACATTACATTACATTACATTACATTACATCATTACATTACATTACATTACAATCATTACATTACATTGAAAGCGTCATAAATAGTTGTTAAGTAATCACACTGAAAGTATAATAATTAATTATTACTAATTATTGTCTACACACTATATACTGTATTATTATTTTTTTTTATATTATTATTTAATAAAATAATTGTCTTTCTATGTTAATTACACATGCACACGCACGCACTTACACACGCACAAATACACACAGGACACATTTTTGTTGATTTAATATTTTTACCATATATTTATTATGTACTCAACTATAATAATTATGATGATCATAATATTTTATTTAAAGATTTATTATCATTGTTATTTATATATTATTATTATTATTATTATTATTATTATGTTATTATTAATATTTTTATAATAGTTCAGATACATATTTTTCAATCTTTTTCAAGCAGAATTTTAAAAGGTCATGACTAAAAATAGACCCTGAAGCATACATTATCAGCTATCATTGTAATTTGCATTTATTATTATTATTATTGTTGTTGTTGTTGTTGTTGTTACTGTTAGTTAGTTTCACACACACATACACACACACACACACACATACACACACACGCACACATACATACGCATTCAAGCACACGTGAATAGTAAATACTCGTACATCTATACACACATATAGTCTTTACACATTGTACATGTGTATATAAAAACATGTGTACACACACACACAAACACACACACATATATATATATATATACACGCACACATACACGCACACATACACGTACGCACATATAGGCGGGCATATAAAATATCACAAGAGTTGTAATTTTTAATTTCCTCTGGTATTGTCATGATGATTATACTGATGACGATGACGACGATGATGATGATGATGACGATGATGATAACAGTCTCCAATAGATTTACATTAAGGGCAATAGTAATGCTTCCCAGTTGGTGTTATAACCCTACATTCATTCATTTTATTTAAATTTGTGACGACTCTTGCTGGCGTCATAAATATCATCGCAATCATCGTCATCACCATCGTCATCATCATTATCGACATCATCATCATAATCATCGTTATTCTTATTACCATCATCATCATCACCATCATCGTCGTCGTCGTCATCAGCATCACTTTCTTCATCATCATCATCATCATCATCTTCGACATCATCTCTCCTTATTATCGTCCTTAAAAGAGCAAAAAAAACATTTAATCTTCATTAGGAAGACTCCATAGGCATTCCATTTTCGATAATGAATTCATAAAATTTATTATCGTTGTTATTATTATTTCTATTATTATTATTGCTATTATTATGTTATTATTATTATTATATTTTTATTTTAGGATTTTTATTTTATTTTTATTTATATCCTATCTTTATTCAATTGTTTCATCTCAGTTGCTATTATCATAAGTTTGTCATCATCGTCATCATCATCGTATCATATTGTCATCATCATCATCATCATATTGTCATCATCATCATCATCATATTGTCATCATCATCATCATCATATTGTCATCATCATCATCATCATATTGTCATCATGTCATATTGTCATATTCTTCATCAGCTTCCGCATTATTTAATTATCCCATTATATATATATATATATATATAATATATATATATATATATATAGACATCACGCTCGGCTGAGCACCCCGACCTGACGAAAAGTTCACTTTTCATGAGTTAGTTGTAGCTCTCCCTTAGAATAGCGTACACACACGTACACTGAATGTACACTGAATGATTGAATGGATGAATGGATGAATGAATGAATGAACGAAGGAGTGAATGAGTGGAAATATAATCAAACGAAATGTTGAGTTTATAAACGAAAAGTTCATAAGTGAATGAATGAATGAATGATTGATTGATTGATTGATTGATTGATTGATTGATTGATTGATTGATTGATTGAATGTTTGAATGGAGAAATTAATTAAGAGACGAATGAAATTTGAAGGAGCGATGGATGTATCGATCAATTAAAGATGTCGCCATTTGAAAGAAAGAAAAAAATAACACGAATGACTGACTGACTGAATGAATGCATGAATGAATGAATGACAGACTGACAGTCAAATTGATTAAATAAAAGAACTAACAACCAATGGATGGATGGATGGATCGATCGATTGAAATCTGACGTGGATAAATTGATGTATGTGTGGATGAATTGATGAATGGAAAAATTAAATGGATAGAGGATTAGATGAATGGAAGGATGAATGAATGAAAGAAAGAATTAATGAATTAGTGAATGGAAGGAAAAAAGAAAGAATGGATGGATTGATGGATGCGATATTTCCAGAGCCAACTCCTTCTTACATCTATCATCTCTTTCCATATCATATTGAAACTTACAATAAACGCACACATACATGTTCTACACGCACGCGCACATAAACACACTCACACAACACATACACTACACACGCACACAACACATACACTACACACTCACACACACGGGTTACACATAGAACACACTAACACACAGACAAGAATCAGTAATATTTAAAGAATGATCTAGCAGCCTAATGAGAATAGTATGATGATCAACAGTATCAAAAGTAAAGTCATGAGCAGGAACAAGAATTAGAGGAAACAAAAAATGTATCAAGGAGAAAAAGGAGATAGAGAATGAAGGGGAGAGAGACATAAAGAAAGAGAATATAAGAGAATGAAAGAGAGAGAGAGAGAAAGAGAGAGAGAGAGGGAAGGAGGGAGAGATTACATTATATTTCATCTGTCTGGCTGCATCTCTTCTCCTCATGTACCTGTACTTTAGAAATTAATATCGTTGCTAATTTAACGTCATAAGCATACATACACACGTATAGACGTACGCACACACACGTACGCACACACACACGTACACACACGTACGCACACACACACATACACACAGACACAGACGCCCCCTTACAGACAAACACACACCATCTTTTTAGTTCATACGTTCCGCGTTTGTATTAATACGTTACTATATTTAGGCTTGTACGCTCTTCATCCTTGCCTCACCTGTTTGCCGCCATTTTATGCACATACGTACCCGTGTGTGTTTGTGTGTGTGTGTGTGTTTTGTATGGGTGTACATATTTGTATATACTTTTTCTGATTTTAGGAAACTCGGCCGTCAATAAGCCATTACAATACATTAGGTGTGACTCTCATTTTAGGTAGTTTAGTTTGTTGTGTGTGGATGTTTAGTATACATTTGTATTTGCATTTGTATATATTTTTGTGTACTCTATTTTTGTATGTTTGGTATTTCGTGTTTTTTGTAGGATGCAAATTTGTAAAGAATTTTTTTAATGTTTGGAATTTTCATGAAATGGCGTTTTAAGCACGTTGCTTCTTTTGGATTAAACTATTCGGTTTTTAGTTTTTTGTTTGTTTGTTATTTTTGTTTCAATTTGTTTCTTTGTTTAGTATGTTCAATTTTTTGTCTTTGTTTCTTTGTTTTTTCGTATTGCTTTGTTTTTTTGTTTTTGTTCTTTTATAATTATTAATATTTCTCAACTTAATGAATGTAGAAAAGTTAATGGCTTTCCATAAATCTCTACCGTAGAATTTTAAATTTCATTTTTATGATCTTTATTTTCTCATTTTGTGATCTTTTTTCCTCGTTTTTATAATCTTTTTCCCTCGTTTTGTAATTCTTTTTTTCAGTCACATTAATGATCGTGCAATTTATAAGCTCAATAATAAATTGACAGCATATCGCCCATACAATGATGACGATGATGATGACGATGATGATGATGGCGATGATGATGACGATGATGACGTTGAATAGTAACGGTCGTCATCGTGGACTTCCTTCTCCAGAATCCCCCCTAGATGGATCGTCATCATCCTAGACTTTTCCGGATTTTTAAAATAATTTTTTCTCGCTCTATAATATATCATTTCTTTGTTTAGGATTTTTTATTATTTTTGTTCGTTTGTTTTCCTATAATTTTTTTAAAATTATATTTATCATTTGCAATTATTTTAATAATTATTTTAATAACTCTCCGAATTGTCTCATTTCACATGATGAAAAATCGTTTTTTGCCTAACGGAAATATAAACATTACATGCTCACACACTCTTTCTTTTGTTCTCTCTTATTCTCTTTTTCTTTCTTTCTCTCTCTCTCTCTCTCTCTCTCTCTCTCTCATACTTTCTCACTCTCTATTTTCTTTTATTTCCTGACCTTTTCAGTGAAAAGCTTTTTATTTATTTTATTACTTATTATTATTTGTATTGTTACTTTAATAATTTTTAAATTTCATCCAAACGAACAAACAGACAGACAGACAGACAGACAAACGGACAGACAGACAAACAAACAAATAAAAAAAAATTTTCCCTTCGCCCACTTAGCTTACATTTTTTTCAGGATTAAGTGTGGCACTTTTTGTGAACATCTTAAACTGAAGACTGAGATTTTTTATAAAATTGAAGATGATGATAACACACGCACACACACGCACACGAACGCAAACACACACACGTTAACAAACTTAAGTATTCCTTACGTGTTTGTATTATACACGTATATATATGGTTCTCTTTCTTTGAAACGTACGCACGCACACACATACATACACACGCACACACATACATACACACGCACACACACATTCACATGTACACACACAAATACTCTTGCACATGCATTGCATGCACGCACATATGCCTTTTTTTTTATAAACGCTTTCTCATGAATGGAGCTTAACCACCTTACCTTTTTAAAATTCTCTCTCCGTAACTTTTACATTTGTCTTTGTTTGTTTGTTTGTTCGTTCGTTCGTTTGTTCGTTTGTTTGTTAGTTCGTTTGTTTGTGAGGTTTTGTGTATTTCTCCGTCTATTTGTATCTCTACTCGTTTCGCTGATGAAGTGATGAAATATGATAGCGAAAGATGAAATGAAGAGAAAAATAAAAGAGTAAAGGACGATGATGAAATGATTACGAAATGATAATTATGAAAGGTGACTACGATGGCGATGATGATGAAGGAAGCAAATCATCGTTCAAATAATTTCTGTCGTTAATCATTCTTTATTATTTTATATTTTATTATTTTTATGATAGATAATGAGATGAATTGCTAAAGATAAAGAGAGAGAGAGAGAGAGAGAGAGAGAGAGAGAGAGAGATAAAGAAAGAAAAAGAAAAAAGAGAGAAAAAGAGAGAGAATTATAGATAAGGGTAATTAATCTTTCATTGGGTATTTTGCTTTTGTGTTTTGGTTTTTTTGTTGGCTGATGAGTTTAAGTGGGTTTTTTAGTTTTTATTTTCATTCATTCATTCATTCATTTATCCGTTTTTTGATCTTTCAATCACTGACAGCCTGACCGAATGCTAGTCGTCTGGTTCAGCGAATTTCTCAACGTGAGTTAAATCATCACCATTATCTCAATCATCGCCATCGTCATCATCATCATTTTTATCATCATCATCATCGTCACCACTCTCATCATCATCGTCGTCATTATCGTCATCACCACCTTCAAGACTATCACCAGATTGGCTCCAGACTTCATTGGGCTTCATTGCCAGGAGGTTGGCGGGAAAAATTACGAAGACACAATGAAACATGTCGATAAGTTTACTAGGTTGGTTGGTTGGTTGGCTGGTTGGCTGGCTGGTTGGTTTGTTGGTTGGTTGGTTTGTTTGTTGGTTGGTTGGTTGGTTGGTTGGTTTGTTTGTTGGTTGGTTGGTTGGTTGGTTGGTTGGTGGGCTGATTGGTTGAATGGTTGAGTGAGTGATTGAGTGATGAATGTTCAATTTGGTTGTTTTATCAATCATTTAACAGCTTTCTAACATTATTATCAATCAGCCATTAAACAGCCGACCAACCAACAAACTAGTCAATCATTCAATCTATCGAACAACCAATCAACCAGCAATCGCTCATTCATTCATTCGTTTGTTCGTTCTTCATTCATTCATTCAATCATTCCTTCGTTCAATTAATCAATCAACCATCCAATCAGAATGTTACTACAGAACGAGCACATGTCTCAATACAAAAGAGCCTATGTTTTTTTAGATGAAGATTTCACGGCCGTTGAAAAATTTACGGTTAGTTTGTATGTTTGCGTGCGTGTGTACGTGTTTGCGCGCGTGCGTTTGTGTCTGTGTGTTTGTTTTTCCTATGACGTCACTGTTGACGTTTCGTTTCGTCTCGTTTGATTGCGGTATCTTCCAATTCGAACTGCATTTCTCACATTGTTATTTCATCTGAGAGTGTAAATTCAATTACTTCTTATCGAACACCCATCTCGCTTCTATTGGTGCGTGTGTGTGTGTACGTGTATATGTACGTGTATGTATGTGTGCGCGCGTGGGTATTCGTGTCTCTGTGTGTTTGTGTGGTGTGTGTGTGTGGGAAGGCATATAATAAGTAGCCAAAGTAATTTATGTATGGCGAGCTGGGGCTATATTTTCCTGTTGTGAAGCTGGCGTCGCGATGAAGATGTCGTAGTGGTGGTAGTTGTCGTCGTCGTCGTTATTATTATTATTATTATTATTACTATTGTTGTTGTTGTTGTTATCATCGTCGTCGTCGTCGTCATCATTATCTCTATTTTTATTCACTTTTATATCAATTTATACCTGATCATATTAGCGTTGCACTTAACGTCATTAAGATGACGTGTGTGTGTGTGTGTGTGTGTGTGTGTGTGTGTGTGTGTGTGTGTGTGTGTGATTGGTCGGTCGGTTGATTGGTTGGTTTGATTTGATTGATTGGTTGGCTGGCCCCGGCTGGTTAATTGGCTAGATTGGATTGGCTGGTTGGTCGATTTGATTGGCTGGCTGGTTGATTTGATTGGCCGGTTGGTTTGATTGGTTGGTTTGATTGGTTGTCCGGTTGGTTGGTTTGATTTGGTTGGTTAGTTTGTTAGTTGTCTGGTTGGAAAATCTGGATTAGTTGATTAGCAAGTTGATCGGCTGGTCGGTCGTTTGGTTGACTTGATTGGTTGTTAGCGTTGATAATGTAGTTTTTACTTTTATTATTATTCTTATTATAGTTATTACTATTATTATTATTGTTGTTGTTGTTGTCATCGTTGTCGTTGTTGTTGTCGTTGTTGCTGTTGTTACAGAGGTCGTGTTTGTTATTATTTTCGAGGCATCCCAGCAGAGGAGAGCCATGCAATAAAGCAGCATTAAACCTTTTAATATTGTCATATATATTTTTATCGTTAGCGTTGTTGTTGTTGTTGTTGCCGATGTTTGCTGTTGTCGATGTTGTTGTCGATGTTTGTTGATGTCTTCTGGTGTTATTAGTAGCAGCAGCGGCGGCGATCGCAACGTCAGCAGCTACAGCAGCAACAGCAGTAGTTTTAGTAGTAGCAGTAATACTACAGGTATTATTAGTAGAAGTAACTGCAGCGGAAAAAGAGGTAGTGGTAGTAGTAGTTATAGAAGTAGTGGTAGTAGTAGCAGAAGTAGCAGTAGTAGTAGTTGTGGTTTTTGTCATTTAGTTTTTTTTTGTTGAAAAATAATAATATTTCTATCGATTTGATGTCTGACGAATAAATGCATGTATGCAAACATTCCGATGTATGTATATGTTTTTGTATGTACGCTTGTTTATGCGTTTGTTTGATGTATGTATGTTGTATATGTTTTTGTATGTTTTTGTATGTATATGTTTTTGTATGTTCATATGTTTATCTTTATGTTGGTATGGTATTTGTATGGTATTAAAATTGCAAAGCTGTTGAATGTTTGCATCTATGTATGTGTGCGTGTGTTTGCATGTATGTGTGTTTGCAAGTGTGTGTGTGTGTGTTGTGTGTGTGTGTTTATGTGTGTAGATACAGTGTGTATGTGTTGATTTTTGCAATTAAATTGAATCATCCAGGCGTTGGGCTCCCTATATTTCATACACAACTCAGTCAAGGATGTTGGTATATACAACTTTGCTGGTTTGTTTTGTATTTTCATTGTATGTTTCGGTGTATTTTTTCTATATGTTTGCGTTCGCTTTTATTGTTTGATTGTATAAATTGTTTTTTTTTAATTTGATATTGTTTTTATGTTAGTTTTGTTTATTCTTCTTTTTCTGGGTATAATATCATATCATATACGGAATATTTATCTCTGTAGAGTTTTAAATTTTTTGGCTGTGTGTTTTGTTCATGAAGCTTTCTTCGTTTGAAAATGTTTACTCTCCTTCTGCGCTATTATTCTACCATGTTTTTGTAGTGTCTGTGTGTGTGTGTGTGTGTGTTGGTAGGCTTGTCTGTGCGTGCGTGTGTGGGTATTAGTGTGTCCGTGCGTGTGTGTGTGCGCGTGTGTACGTGTGTTTGTTTTTGATTTTTGAAAAAAATTTGTTTCCGCACGGAGTGCATGAAAAGTTTTGTCCTAATTATCCTCTAACAGAATATGGTTGCACGATGCGAATACTTTTTTACTTTCGTTTTATATAATTTTATTTTGTTGTTTGTTTGTTTGTTCTTGGTATGTTTATTTGTTTGTTTGTTGGTCTGTTTATTTGTTTGTTTTTCGGTCTCTTTGGTTGTTTGTTTGCTTGTCTGTAGTTGTCAGTTTTTCTCCTGCGCACTGCGCACGATTTTTAGTGCTCTCCATCAACTAGTATTTTTTTTGGGTGCTAGCAGAAAACAATGCCTAAAAATATAATTGAGTCAATTTACTCTGGTTTTACCAACTGCAAACAACAATTTTTTCCATTCTTTTTTCTTTGTCTCTTCTTTCTTTCTTTCTCTCTCTCTCTCTCTCTCTCTTTTTCTCTCTCTCTTTCTCTCTCTCTTTCTTTACTCTTTCTTTTCTCAATTTCTCTCTCCGATGCTGTTTTCCGTTTAGATTGTTGTTGTTTGTTTGTTTTCGTTGTTGTTTGTTTTTGACATGAATACATTTTTTTTTAAACAGAGAGAACATTTGTTCCCGCCGAAGGAAAAGAGGTTTATTACCATTATTATTATTATTATTATTATTATTATTATTATTATTATTATTATTATTATTATTATTATTATTATTATTATTATTATATAATTATGACAGGTCTTTACAGGAAACATCGAACACGTTCCCATAAAGGAGAAATCCAAATTCCCGAAGGATTTCTTCCCGGACGTTAGTAAACACGAAACCTTATTATTATTATTATTATTATTTTATTATTATTATTATTGTTTTAATAATTATAATAGTTATTATTGTTATTAGTATTGTTGTTGTTGTTGTTGAAATTAATTTTGTGACGATGACTGCTATGTAAGTGTTGCTCACCCATTCACTCATTGCATTGTGATCAGAAGAGTGATGACAGTGGTAATGGTAGTGGTGGAAGTAAGGATGGTGATGATGATGAAGAAGAAGAAGAAGAAGATGATGATAATTATGATGATGAGGAGGATGGCGATAAGTGAATATTAACGCAGCCTTGATGAAGATAGCGAGCGAGTGGAATTTTTTTCTTTTGAAAGCCAAAAAAAAATTTTGAAAAAAAAATTGATGATTTTTTCCAACGCAATGTTCACAGAGCGCGCACACACGCACGCACACACACACGCACGCACACACACACACACAAACACACACTTATACGGACACACGCACCCAAACACACACACACCCACGTTCGCACACGCTATACGCTGAGAAAGATAATTGAAAAACTGCAAATTGTATTTAAATTTACAACTCCAGGCCACTTCTTCGCAACTTTTCTTCACAGAATCTCGCACATATTGACAAAAAAATTTTTTCGGTACACAGTACAATTTTTTTTTCATTTTTAAGAAATGTTTCTTTCCTTTATCCTTAACTTTTTACTCGATCGCGAGGCCTATTATAATATTTGACGCTGTTCGTAAAAGGATTTAATTAATTGTTTTTAATTAGTTAATTAATTAGTTATATTAATTGTTTAATTTGATAATAATTAAATGGTTAATTTTTCATCGCAGGGTGTGTGGTCTAGAAAGGGTTTTATAAGAACTAGATGGAGACTATATAACACGTTAGAGCTCGTTCGTTCGTTCGTTCGTTCGTTCGTTCATTCATTCATTCATTCATTCCTTTGTCATTCATTCATTCATTCATTCATTCATTCATTCATTCATTCATTCATTCATTCATTCATTCATTCATTCCTTTGTCATTCATTCATTCATTCATTCATTCATTCATTCATTCATTCTATCATTCATTCATTCATCCCATTACGTCACCTCATAGAGTTTTTGATCTGGTAAACCTTCACCTGTTTCACGACGCATCAAATATCGTTGCCATGGAGAAGGTTATTGACGCTACTACTGCTACCACCACTACTACTACTACTACTACTACGACGACTACTACTACTACTACTGCTACCACCACCACTACTACTACTACTACTACTTCTACTATTACTACGACTACTTCTACTACTATAATAATAATAATAACAATAATATTTATTATTATATTTATTCTTATGTTATTATTGTTATCCAAATTTCTGCTGTAGTAATTTATTTTTATTGCTCGTTTTACGTCCTCATCATCAGAGTCCTTCCCTGTACAGTTTGCACAGAGAGCAGGCTTTATTGCACACCATTAAGAGGTAGGTAGGTGGGTGG